AGGTTCGATCTATATTGGTCCAGGTTTTCCTAAAGTACCCATATGACGGTAAATGATTTCAGCCACATTATGTAACGAAGTATGGTACTTAAAACTCGCAATAGAAATCTATATATATAAATGTAAGTTGTGTTAGTTACTACGCTTATAACTCAAGAACCGCTGATCTGATTTTAACGATTCATACAAATTCTGAATTGTCTCTTTTCCGAAAAGGATAATATTCAAAAAAATCGCGTAAAAATGTGATATATTAACATTTTCATTTTGACTTCTGAAATGTACAATCGTAATGTTTTATTTTGTATGTTTTTTTTTTTTTCTCTTTTGACTTACTTTTTTCGAATGTATATTTGTAGTGTTTTTTATATTTTTTTTTCTTTTTGATTCGAATATTAATACCAATTTATTTTGACTCGATTTCTTGAGAACTGAAATAGAAGCCGGGTTACATTGAAGTGTAGTACCAAATTATGTGGTGGCGAAACGAAATAGATGTTATCAAAATTATTTAACGCGGTCACACCAAATTTAAATCAAAATTTCTAAAAATCTTGAAAAAAGAGATCTCATTGCAAACATTCTCAAATCGGGGAAAAATTACATAAGGTATGACTAAAGAACGGCTTAACAATTCATACAATTTTGGAATGGTATCCAATAAAATTATTAATAAAAAATTTCTTTTTGGTGTGATTTTTTTCAATTTGACATACTATATTGAAGTGAACATTTTTTATTGCCTTGAAATCTGAATGAATAATATTTAAAATAAAATGAGTGACCTACGTGGACCTACATCTTTCATATGGCAATAATCCGCCTCAAAATGCAATTCATTGGAACTGCAGTCAGTGAAATACCGAATATAAAGGGTGCAAAATGGTAGAGCGAATTGGACATTTAGGAAAAAAGAAAGAAATTCTTCCTAAACTTTCAAGATGTCTTAAATCGCTTTTGCAGGTCATGATATATGACCCCCGGATAAGGGTACAACCCTATTTCAAGTATTGTTTACATTTTAACCACATTTTTCTCACACTCATTTTAATTTGATAAGAAACCATCCTCGCAAAATATGATCATGTTTTGGTATAACCATCATATAATTTAAGCCATGTTCGGGGTCTTCGACATTTTTTTCATCTTTAGGCCTTTATTTGGCATCTTTGTTTCTAAGGGTGTAAAAAACCTCTTCTCATAATATTTTCAATTTTCGGAGTAGAGTCCATCTTGGTCTTGACCACATTCATCAATTGATTTGGCTAAAAAATTGTATTTAGGCAACTCTGGGGTAGAGAATCGTCCCTCAGATAATTGTCCACATAGGCATTTATTCGAGTATAGTTCTCACATTAGTGTACCCACAAATCCGCTTTCCTAACCAATGTTTGGTCAGAAAAGAAAATTTGATATACTATTGAATTTGAAACTCCCAAGAGAATATTGGTTGGGAACGTAGATGTGGGATTAACATCTACATGCCATAAACTCCGAAATATCAAATTGTGGCAGAAACATGAAAAAATCACGAATATTAATTTTTTTGTTCGTTATTGAATTATACTATGATGAAAAATATGGACTTTATGGGTTCTCCAACTCACAATTTAAATGACAAAAATAAATTAATTAATATTTCACGGTAATGGGTGTAAAAAAGCAATTATCTTTGACTATTTTGAAATCATTCCGCCCTCAATTATGAGGTGGACAAAACTAAATACCACGCAGCACGGTATTCTTAACATTGGAAATTCAATACCAAAAATTTAGCTGAGTTTTCACATGGGGCTATTATAGAAGTTCTATATCATACAGGTTTTTAACACTCAATTATAGCCTTAGGCTGAAAAATAAGATCGGGCTATTCAAAATATCTAAAACCGACGGTAGATTATTATCTATTATAATTTTTCCCATGAATGTTTATTTCTATTTAGAAATTACTAGGGAGTTATTTTACTTATAATAAAAATTGTGCCGCTTTCATAATTCTATAATGCTTAAAAAAATATGAATTAAAGACTAAAAGTAGGGGCCGGCAACGCGGACCGGGCCAGCTAGTTGTATATATATATATATATATATATATATATCTATATCTATAAAAGAGGAAAATGTTTGTACGTTTGTTTGTTTGTTTGTTTGTTTGTTTGTTTGTTTGTAATTTATGGACTCGAAAACTGCTGAATAGAATTTTCTGAAAATTTCCATATATACTGCAACATCGCCTGAAAGTAACATAGGCTATACAAATTTTTGAATTTCCACTTGGAACTGGAGATATAGCATCAGAATCGGAGGTACCTCCCAAAAATTTAGATTTTATATGCACATATCTATTGATCGCTTAAAGATACAGTCTCCAAATTTGGAATGTGTAACGGAATTTGGAACAAAAATAAGTTTGCTAAATTATATTGTAATCGGTTCAGATTTGGATATAGCTCCCATATATATTTTCGACCGATTTCGTTCATTTGATGCCTCAAACACAATATGAATGTTCGATTCCAATGAAATTTGGAATATGTGACGGGATTTGATCCGAAAATAAATTTGTCAAATTATATTGAAATCGGTTCAGATTTGGATATAGCTCCCATATATATTTTCGGCCGATTTCAAGCATTTGATGCACCAAACACGCTATGTATCCCCAATTTCAATGAAATTTGAAACGTGTGATAGATTTTATCTAAAAAATTTATTTCCCAAATTATATTGAAATCGGTTCAGATTTGGATATAGCTCCCACATACATTTTCGGCCGATTTCATGTATTTGGTGGACCAAACAAGATATGTATGTCCAAATTTAATGAAATTTAAAATAAGTAACGGAATCGGGAGCAAACATGAATTTTTCAAATTATATTGAAATCGGTTCAGATTTGGATATAGCTCCCATATATATTTTCGACCGATTTCAAGTATTTTATGCACCATACACGATATGTATGTTCGATTTCCAAGAATTTTGGAATATGTAGCGGGATTTTGATTAGAAAATAAATTAGTCAAATTATATTAAAATCGGTTCAGATTTGGATATAGCTCCCATATATATTATCCGCCGATTTCACATATTTGATGCATATTTGACAAATTATATTCAAATACGCTCAGATGTGATTATAGCTCCATATATATACTCAGCCGATTTCACATATTTGATGCACCCAAAGCGAGAGAGACAAAATCTGGCACCAGCAAAAATTGCACAATTATATTGAAATCAGTTGAGGTTTGGATATAGCTAACATATATATTTCGGCCGATTTCATACATATTATGCACCAAACACGATATATATGACCGATTCCAATGAAATTCAGAATGTGTGGCGGAATTTTGTTATAATAATAAATGTGATAAATTAATTGGAAATTAGTTAAGATTTGGATATAGCTCCCATATATATATTCTCGGCCGATTTCACATATTTGACGCACCAATTTCAATTAAATATGAAAGGTGTGGCGGAGTTTGGTGTAAAAGTAATTTTTTTTAAATTATATTTAAATCGGATCAGATTGGGATATGATTTTAATAAGAACCATTGACCCACAACGCCTTAGGCTAACACTAAAAAACAACACAACAATTTATTTGAAATACGCTTATTACGGCGAAGTATGTTGCTATCTCGAATTCACTACTTGCAATAGAAATGCCACTCTACTTAAAAAAATTGCAGTTTCCTGCACGCTTGGTATTTGCTATGAAATAAATAAATCCAAAGGACAAACCCTTCGTGTATGCATGTCATGTTACTGCTTTTGTAATGATTTTGTTTATTAACGCATTAAATTAGTGCAATATTTTTTTTAATTTTTAAATTTGTTTTTCTTTATCCAACATATATTCGTAAATAAAATTTTGAATGCATATAAAATCAAAAGGGGTAGCGAAGCGCACCGGGTTCAGCTAGTATATATATATATATATATATATATATATATATATATATATATATATAGGAAATTGTGTTAGTTACTACGCTTTTAACTTAAGAACCACTGTACTGATTTTAACGATTCATACTAATTCGGAATTGTCTCCTCTCCGAAAAGGATAATATCCAAAAAAAGTTTTCAATGTACGTCAATGTTTCGGAGTAGTGCAAAATTTTAATAAAGGTACCTTATGATTTTACCATATTTCAAAGGATTTGCCTAAAAATGTGTATTTGGCGGGTGAAAATCTTACACATAAATTTAAACATATCTACAAATTTTAGAATTTTCTCCATGTAATCGTACCCTTTTGGCGGACAAACAGACCGACATGGCTAGGGGGACTTATGAGGACTCTAATGCACAATCTAAGGTGCTAATGGGTTTAAAAAAGTAATTAACTTTGGCTATTCTTAAATCATTCAGCACCCAATTATGAGGTGTACAAAATACAGTAAATTCCAAATTACTACTCATTTGACTGGAAAAATTTGTTACGATTTTTACCATACTATTTGATTAATTTATTAATATTAATAATATCATGGGGATAAGATTGATATATACTTTTTAATAGATTTGTATAGCACATCCACACATTTGAAGCCCACGGTTTAAATATTGAAGCCCACGGCTTAAATATGGGTACAGGTATTTTAAAACACTTTTAATCGACCAGTAGGTGAACACTTATATCAGTCATATCTGTGAATAATTATGATTTGACAAATATGCATAATAGACAAAAACTACGGGCCGACAAAGCGGACCGGGCCAGCTAGAATATATATAGGTTATTTTTTTGGTGACACCCAATTTATTTATTTTAGTATTTTAGCGCATTCTCCAACTGATTTCGCTGATACTTTTATTAGATTCGTGTTTAAGAATGATAGTTTTTTCCCCATTATTCTACAGCATACTCTATTTTAGGATTTTTTTGCTAACATGTTTTCTCTAATAACTTCATTTTCTACTGGGTTTATTTGTAGTTTTTTTCCCAGTACTGTCACATTGCGAATTTTCAAATAGTCTAGCAACCAAGGAAAATTTATTTTTTATGCCATCATATATTCACACAAACATTATTTGAAATCAATTAAAACAAAATTATTCCATTTCCAAGTGATTACGTTCTATCTTATAATGGATCCCTAATCTCACAATACAAGAGCTTCCATAATCACCACGGTTGGGAAGGCACACTCCTGCGGACATAAAACGTAAATTGTGGGCAGCAGGCCAGACAACGGTAATGCATGGCGAACAAGTTGTCATAATCGGAGAATCAACATTATAAGATCCTTTTTTTTTGTTCTGCTTTCAAGGACCTTCTTGTATTGCCTGCAGGTTAAATGTATTGGTCTTTGGGGTGAGTAATTCACAGAATAACTCTATTTTCAAACGTTCCGGGTTTCTATCTATTTGCCTAGGAAAGACTCATAATTTATATGCAGCAACACGCTTTGCATGCGTTCATCTCCACTCGGGAGATTACTGCGGCACTTAAATGGCACATCAATGCTGCCGGTTGTTTCTCACTTGGTAAGCAACTGTGTTACTTTTTGCCTTCCAACGTTGCACCCATTCGCACCCGCACCCGCACACACACACAGACACATGTACCGAACGAAAAACTCGTAAACAGCAGGAATGCCGGCATGTAGGAGGATCAAATGGAAAACAAACTCCACCGATGTAGAGTATTTTAGTTTTTGGACAAATGCGATGATGCGCAAAAGATGATGTGATGCTTCAGCAATCTTGTTCTTGGCATGTACAAGGATGTCGTTAAATGTCAACGGATGTCGACGCAACATTTGTACGTTTTCAATATTCCGAAAATCGTTCCATTATCCTGAAGGGTAGAGGATGTAGCTTTCGACTTCATTAAAACACCCCATCAACCAGCAGTTCTTCATGGCCATGGGAAGGAGTCAAGGGAACTTCATTTCCGCTACCACTGTCAGAGCCACGTGTTCATTTGACTTTTATGATTATTGCACTCCAAATCAGTATTCATTGGTTACAAGCTGTAGCATTTAAGCATTTGCTTCTTGTTTCCAACTTCCCGGCTAGTGTTAGTGTTGTGACAGCTGTTATTGCTCACCACCACAACAAAACACAACAACTATACAGCCAAGAAAGAACGCCGTCCACTGCAGTAACTCCACAAGACCCAAAGGATTTGCCAATTTTGTGGGTGTTTGACCATTAATAATTATTGCAATGCATCAAAGTGGTTGTTGTGCTCTGTAGCCAGCTTCGACCAACACGTGCACCCGAGTGCTGTTTTAATTGAAGATTGTGGACACTCCTCTGGGTGAGTGTAAATAAATCTAGGATAAAAGGAAGGATTAGAGTTAATAAGTAATCGCTTTTGAGCTAATTATAATTTAATAAAGTCACGGGCTTAACATTATCTAAATGATGCATTGATATAAAATCGGGGAATTTGCAAGCGTTTCTATGTATGCATAAGCTAAGTTCGGCCGGGACGAATATTTAATACCCTCCACCATTTCAAAAAAACTTGAAAAATTTCAAAAAAAATTCCGAAAACTACCACTTAAATGAAAACCGTTATATGGTGACTATACGAAGAAGGGGACCTGCTTACGAAATTTATTGTCATGGGCTGTAGTACCCATTACGAACTTCAAATACGAAATTTGAAACAGTTCCAGTGAATAATGTTATTGAACTCATGAAAATAGCGAGTATCGGGAGGTACCGTCGTATGGGGGCTATACGAAGACGTGGACCTGCATACGATATTTTTTGTCGAACTTTAAAATTGAAATTTGAAATAATATCGGGAGGTACCGTTATACCGTGGACCGACATGCTCATTTACGAACTTAACCTGCCTACTGATAAACTATGCATGTATTCAAAATTTTAGACGTCTACCTTAACAGACATATGGACAACGGACATAGAATGGTGGACGGTATAAAAACATTGGCGCATCACACGCTACCACTTCATCCCACTCTAATTTCAGTTGTACCTGTTTGTATTAACTAATATGAACTCCTTACGGTTAGAGTAGAGTCAATGGATGCTTTTATATCAAACTAGCTGAACCCGATGCGCTTCGCTACGGATTTATTAATTTCATAGCAAATACTAAGCGTACAAGAAACTGCAATCTTTTCAAGTAGAGTGGCATTTCTGTCGCTATTAGAGAATTCGAGGTAGCAGTATACTTCCCTAAAATAATCGTATCCTCAATTAAATTGTTGTGTATTTTAATACCCTCCGTTTGTAACACCTCGAAATATACATTTTAGACCTCACAAGGTATACATATTCTTGATCAGCATAAGTCGATTTAGCGATGTACGTCCGTTTGTCTGTCTGTCCCTCTATCCATCTGTCCGTCTGTGGAAATCACTCTAGCTTCCGAAAGAATTGAAGTAGATTGATAAAATTTCACTCAAATATATATTATGTCTGCATGACTTTTAGTATTGAAAATGGGTCATGTAGGTCCACGTTTTGGTATAGCCCCCATATAACGGTACCTTCCGATATTCGGTATTTTGATGATTTTAGCGACAATATTCACCGTTTTTTTTATAAGTTTCGCATTTGAATATTTTAATGGCTTATGACAAAAATATAACAGCTACATTTGGTATTTTTAAGATTTTAACAGCATTTTTAACGGATTTTATTTATTTTTTTTTTTGGAAATTGTCAAATTTGCAACAAATGGTGGAGGGTACTAAAGTTCGGCCCGACCGAACTTACAGCTTTTTTACTTGTTTTACTGTTAGATTAATACCATTGCAAAGGCGTTGTGAGTCAATGCTTGTTAATAAAATTATATTCCAATCTGAACCGATTTCAATATAGTTTGACAAAATTTACTTTTACACCAAATTCCGTCACACCTTCCATATTTTACTGACATTCGAGGTACATTCTCTGTTTAGTGCATCAAATATATTAAATCGGCCGAGAATAAATATGGGAGCTATATCCAAATTTTAACCAATTTGTAAATAATTTGTCAAATTTATTATTGGAACCAAATTCCGTTACGCATTGTGAATTTCATTGGAATCGGACATACAATCGGCCGAAATACATATATAAATATAGGAGCTATACCTGAACCTCAACCAATTTCAATATAATTTGGCAAATTATTTTGCTACCAAATTTGGTCTGTCCTTCGTCTTCATTGGAATCGGACATACATGTCGCGTTGGGTGCATCAAATATGTAAAATCGGCCGAAAATAAATAAATCTGAAACGTTCTCAATATAATTTGACAAACTTATTTTTGTACCGAATTTAGTCACTCATGCCAAATTTAATTGAAATCGGACATACGTATCGTGTTTGGTGTATCAAATAAACGAAATCTGTCGAAAATATATATGGGAGCTATATCCAAATCTAAACCGATTTGAATATAATTTGGCAAATTTATTTTCTAATCAAATCCCGTCACTCATTCCAAATTCAATTAAAATAGAAGATACGTAGCGAGTTTAATGCATCAAATGAAATCGGTCGAAAATATATATAAGAGTTATATCCATATATATAGCAGTTGAATTTGGCAAATGTATGTTTGTTCCAAATTCCGTTATGTAGTCCAAAGACTGTATCTGTAATCTATGCATTTAAAATCTAAATTTTTGGGAGGTACCTCCGATTCTGATGTCATATCTCCAGTCCCAAGTGGAATTTAAAAGAAATATATAGCCTATATTGCTCTCAGGCGATGTTGTAGTATGCTTGGAAATTTTCAGGAAAATCTGTCCAGTGGTTTTCGAGTCCATAAATTACAAAAATACAAACATATAGATTTTGAGAAATTCAAATACACATGTCCATTAGAAAATAAATTAGTCAAATTATATTAAAATCGGTTCAGATTTGGATATAGCTCCCACATACATTTTCCGCCGATTTCACATATTTGATGCACAAAACACGATACGTATATCCGATTCCAATGAAATTCGGCATGAGTGGCTAAATTTGGTACAAAAGTAAATTTGACAAATTATATTCAAATACGCTCAGATTTGATTATAGCTCCCATATATATACTCAACCGATTTCACATATTTGATGCACCCAAAGCGAGAGAGACAAAATCTGGCACCAGAAAAAATTGCCAAATTATATTGAAATCAGTTGAGGTTTGGATATAGCTAACATATATATTTCGGCCGATTTCATATATGTTATGCACCAAACATGATATATATGACCGATACCAATGAAATTCAGAATGTGTGGCGGAATTTGGTTACAATAATAAATGTGACAAATTAATTGGAAATTAGTTAAGATTTGGATATAGCTCCCATATATATATATATTATCTGCCGATTTCACATATCTGACGCACCAATTTCAATGAAATATGAAAGGTGTGGCGGAGTTTGGTGTAGAAGTATTTTTTTTTTTAAATTATATTTAAATCGTGTCAGATTGGGATATGATTTTAATAAGAACCATTGACCCACAACTCCTTAGGCTAACACTAAAAAACAACACAACAATTGATTTGAAATACGCTTATTATGGCGAAGTATGTTGCTATCTCGAATTCACTAATTGCAATAGAAATGCCACACAACTTCAAAAGATTGCAGTTTACTGCTCGCTTGGTATTTGCTATGAAATAAATAAATCCCAAGGACAAACCCTTCGTGTATGTATGTCATGTTACTGCTTTTCTAATGGTTTTGGTTATTTACGCATTAAAGTAGTGCAATAATTTTTTGTTTATATATATATATATATATATATATATATATATATATATATATATATATATATATATATATATATATATATATATATATATATATATATATATATATATATATATCGTTCGCGCAGATATATTTCAATAACAGTTGTTTATAGCTATTGCACCGCTAGACGATCACATTAAATGTGTACATGGCTATAGTTCTGGTTATGGCTACGGCGATTGAACATTTACCAGTCGTTACTGACCCACTATATATTTGAGATTTGTTATTTAACGTTCCTGGTGTTTACCTCATGCCCTCGCAAAAATAGTAAATGCATGTATGCATTATGTAATCGTTCCTATATAACTGCAACTGCCAATTGAGAGTTTTGGCTAATTTAAATTTGCTAACATTTTATATTTGGGCTTCATAGTGATTAGGAAACGCGTTCAGAGCGGAAGAGTCGAACACTCACAGTGACATAAAGAAAATCTTTAAAAATAAAAGTATCGAGATTGAATATTGGACCCACAGTCATTGTTGCCAGTGAAATCGGTGGGCAAAAAGTCTTCAAAATGCCATAAAGTCGACATCTAATGTGGCTAAAATTACCAAAATACCAAATATTCGAATGTCCCGCTTTTTGACGATACAGTAAATGAGTAGTATTTTGCCGCTGAAGACAAGACAATGTTCTGCCAATGTTCTTCTGTACAAACTTTACCACATCTTGAATAAATTTGTTAAAAAATGTGATCAAAATCTTCAAAATACCGAATATTTGGAAGTACCGTTATATAGGCGGACCT